GTTGGCACTTGAGACTACCCCTCCTCCCTCCCCCTCTGCTGCTCCGGCTTGTCCTGGTTTTAGCCTCTCTTTCAGCTCTGGAGCCAGAGAGGAAGGGCCTCCTGCTTCCTCTGCCAGAGCCCGCCCACCGCCTGCAGGCCACTCAGAGCACCTGCTGGGAAGGTCAGCCTACTGGCTGGCCCTGTCTCAGAGCACTTCAGGGACCACAGGGCCGCTGCTCCCACCCCTAGCACCTTCCCCAGGGCAGTCCCCTCCAGAATGGGCCAGCCTTAGCCCAGAGCTCTGCCCCACACAGCTGCGTACAGCTGTGGGGCCTTGGGCAGAGGTGCCATGTCAGCGAGCTGCCAGCTCTGCCTCCCCCTGCATCTGCATGGCTTTCCAGCACCACTGGCGTGACTGGCCTGTCCCATGTCATTGGACGTGGCAGCTTCCAGCCCAGATGTGCCGTGCCTTCCTCCTGGCTATGGGAAATGAGGCTGGCTTTTGGGCACAAGTCCTCTGAGCTAGCCTGGGTGCTTCCCCGTGTTTCAGTCCAGCAAGGGGTAACTCCAGGGCTGGCCCGGCTGTGTTCCCAGCTGCGGAGAGCACTCCCTCGCCCTCACCCTCTGCCCGCCTTTTAAAACAGGGAACGCTTCAGATTCCACTTCACGTCCTTTAGCGCGCACAGCCAGGCCTGGGCTGCGGGGCCAGGCTGGGGGTGACCTTGCCTGGCATGCCCCTTGCCATGCCTTTGCAGCTCCTGCTGGGAAAGGGGTCTCGTCCTGCTCCTTGGTGGGGAGGGGCATGAGAAGAAGGCCTACCTCCGAGCCTCCAGAGCCTACCACCTCCACCCAGGCCCGGCCCTCAGGCCTTCCTGAAGGCCAGCAGTGAGTCCATGGGAGTCGGGTGGCCCTCCTGCCGGCACGGCCCAGGGGTGTCCTCTGTGAGCGCGGTCGCAGGGCACACACGCCCCACCCCAGCAGCGTCACCTCACCTCCCCAGGCCAGCACCTGAAGGCCCTCTTCTTGATTTTGCCCTTACTTTGAGCCTGGGACGGGGGTGGCGACTTAGCATTCCCTCTGCAGGTAAAAAGCAGGTCTACAGATAGGCGTTTCCTCCACAGCCCAGCGAGGTTTCTGGTTAGGGGAAGGTTTATGGTACCACAGCCGCCACTTTGACCCCATAGCCATCTGAGAGAAGGAGACCATCATTCGCGTGGGTTCTGGCTTAGCTGGATCTCATTACTGTTTATTGCCTTGATGTGTTTTCCTTTTTTTTTTTTGGAGAGGTTTTTGCTATAGAGTACATGTACTCGCCAGAAAGACAGAGAGAGACAGAGAGACAGAAAGTGAGAAATCACCCCCCAGGGGGGATGGCCACGCTGCAATCCCTTTTCCTCTGTTCTCCTCTCGGGATCATGGGCACGCACGCACACACGCCCAGCATGAGTTTAAGCCACTGGGTTTGGGACTCCAACGGCGGTCGGCCACACGGGAGTTCAGCGACATAGCCATTATGCCACCTGCTGGTCCCTTGACGTGTTTTCTTCTGCCCTCTCAGGGAGATGCAGTTAAAGACCTGATGCTCCGCTTTCTGGGTGAGAAGGCGGCTGCAAAGAGACAAGTCCTGACCGCCAGCTCCGTGGAGCAGTCTTTCGTCGGCTTGAAGCAGCTGATTGTGAGTAGCCGTGTGTTTGCCCGCAGAGCTGGTTTGCAGTGGGTCCTGCTGCCTGAGCAGCATCTTCTCTAAAACGCAGTTACTTGGACTGTACGACCTCTTGCACATAAACAGGATGTTGTTCAACTAGATACCAGTCTTATGTAGCCAAAACCCTCCCATTGGTGTACCGATCATTTTAAATCCAATTAGTTCAAAAGCCCGTAGTGTAGAAGATCAACTGATTGAAACAGCATATACTTGGATAAAACACCAAGAAGTTTATGGGAAATGTATATTACGAAGGAATTATGCATGAACTTCAAATTCTTCTGGACCAAAAAAAATGGTACTGTAATTCCATTTTCCATGAACTTTCTGAAGGGCCGGCGCGTGCTTTACCGACTGTAACAGCTAGCGCTTGATGACTCTGTGTCTGTCTTTTTGTTAGACTCTAACTTCTCCATGTCACATGGAAAGTTTATCAGCAAATGGGTGAGTTTCTGGCCATTTTTAAACTTACCGTGAATTTCCCAAGTAGATTTTTTAAATTCATTAAGATCGGATTACTGTTCCATTTGTTTCCGATGAGTTTTTAACATCCAGGACAGCTTCTCAAGGGTCGGGCGCTCTTCCAGATGAGAGAGGAAACGCTGGTGGCTGTCACACGGGTTTCCGGGACCCAGAGGCCGTCGCAGCCCGCTGTGTGCCTTGTGCCATTCCTCCTCTGGTCTGGATGCAGGAAAAGCCCCACCCTGTCTGAGCATGGTCGGGGAGAGCTTTAGGGAAGGGACTTGAACCAAGCAATGTGTGAAAGGGAGAAGTCGCAGGCTGGCTGTGCCCTGGAGCTGGGGCCCCGCCCTGTCCGCCCTGCATCTTGGCACCTCTCAGCCCACTCCCTGGCCACGTCCCGACACCTAGGGACGCATAGTGGAGAAGAGGCGGGACTTCCCGCGTGACCTCACTCCCTGCCCGTTTCCCTCCACACCTCCCTTTGGTAGCTCAGTCTTCTCTCCCTGGAGTCAGGGTCTGCCCCTTCTAAGCAGGTTTCCCTTCTTGAGGATATAATCGAGGGTCTAGAAACTTACCGAGGCTTGGGACTAGCAGTGTCATGGTCACATCACTGGGCTCTCACAGAGTCCACTGGGTTTCCAGTCTTGGAACCGGGGGCTTAAAACTCAGGCTGGGCACATAAGCATGCCCAAAACCCCAAGAGGAGAATGGAGGGGCAGGATTGCGACGTAGCCGTCCCCCTCGGGAGATGATTTCTTGCTTTCTGCCCCTCTGGCGACCACACACACCTTGTAGCAAAAAGTATCCCTCTCAAAAAACAAAACTTACTGAGGATTTAACTCTGCAGTTCATATAAAACTGAGGCCAAGGTTCACCTGTGAACTAAACCAAAAAGGCAAAAATGAACATTCTTTAATGCTTTTTTGGAGAAGCACCGAGTTCCCCCAGCTTAGAGGTAACACTTTTGTGTCCTGACTGTGACGTGTAAACCACTAACCCACTGACCACATCCATGGTAAAATGCAGGATGAAAAGTCCTGTCTCTGTTTAGCAATCCCCTCTCCCCAGCCCAGGCTGTGGGGGTCCACGTGCAGCCCGTCCTCCCCCTGCCAGTAGTCGCAGTGGCTCCGGGACACGTGCAGACGTCAGGGGCCTCTCAGGGAACACAGGGGGCGTGCTCCACCGTGGCAGTCAGCTGCCTGGGGTGCTGAACTTTCTGGGCCCCTCCGCTTTTTGTTTTAGGTTCTAGCTTTTGCTTTGTAGTGTTCTGTCAGCAGCAGAGCTCTGGTTTCCTGTAAGAGCAGAACGGGGGGTGGGGGGCATGAAACCCTCTCTTCCACTCAGTAGTTTCTTACATTCTTTCTTCAGTCTCGATCATTCTCTTCCTTTGATCCCTGATCTTTTACCTGGAAAACCTTTTATTTTTTTTTTCTGAGAGGTTTTTGCAATAGGGCGCGTGCGCTCACCAGGAAGACAGAGACAGAGAGGTAGAACGCAAGAAATCACCCCTCAGGGGGGATGGCCACACCGTAATCCCTTCTCCTCCATTCTCCTCTTGGGATCTTGGGCACGCACTGCACACACACACGCTCAGCATGAGCTTAAGCCACCAGGTCTGTGACTCAAGCTGTGATCGACTACGTGGGAGTCCAGCGACATAGCCATTACGCTAACTGCTGATCTCGAAAAACCTTTTCTTTTTTGGGGGGAGAGGTTTTTGCTTTAGGGCGCATGCGCTCACCAGACAGAGACAGACAGAGAGATAGAAAGTGAGAAATCACCCCCCGGGGGGATGGCCATACCGCAATCGCTTCTCCTCCATTCTCCTCTCGGGATCGTGGGCACGCACTCACACACGCCCGGCGTGAGTTTTAAGCCACCAGGTCTGGGGCTCAAGCTGTGATCGACTACGTGGGAGTCCAGCGACATAGCCATTGCACTAACTGCTGTTCCCGCGAAAGTCCGCGGTGACGTGCGGGCCCAGCCCTACTGGCACGTGATAGGTACCCTGCATTTTTCCAAACGAGTAGAAGAGTAGTGAGTGCAGGTGAAGTGGAGCCCAGGCAGGAAACTACTCTTGCGAGAAGGCTGGTTAGAGTCAGGGAGGAGCACGCCCTAGAGGGCAACATGGAGAGTTTTGCTAGGGGAGACCCAGGAAGCAGGAAGAGAGGACACTGCTGGTCAGCTAGGGGAAAGGCATAAGGGAAAAGGAAGAGATTCGGTAGGAATTGAAATCTAAGTAGCAGGTTTTCACACTGTTCCAGGGAGGGCCCCAGGATGACTGTAGGCACAGATAGGCCAAGGGCTGGTGGGACTGGGCCATGCAGACCAGTTAGCTGTCGCTCAGCCATGCCATTGACTTCCTGCAGTCTCTGTTGAGAGTCTTTAAGGGGCAGGAGGAATGTGGATGAGTTTTGCTATTAAAATTTACTTCAGAAAACTTGGGCCAGCTCATAGCCTGGTGGTTAAGGGAACTGGATCCCACATGGCAGACCATGGTTCAGATCCCAGATCATTGGCTTGAAGACCACACGATGCACGCATGAGTACATGTTCAAAATCCCGACAAGGTGGAGAGTCGGGGAAAAGGGACTGCGGTATGTCTGCGCCCTGTTGAGGGGTCCTTTCTCCCTGCCTCTCTTTTTCCCTGGTGAGCACACACACCCTCTGGTAATTAAAAAGAAACAATTTTTGTCAGAATTGTAAAAGGTCCCATATCGCCAAAGCAATACTACACAGAAAGATTGAAGTAGGAGGCCTCTCACTCCTTCACCCCAGAGTATACTACGAAGCTGTGATCATCAAAACAGCTTGGTACTGGCACAGAAGCAAGGTAATCCAGTGGAGCAGAATGGAGAACCTACAAGTAAATCCCAAAGCATACAGCCACGATTCTCAACAGAGTGCACGAGACAGTCCAGTGGCAAAACAAAACAAAACAAAAACAAAAAAACAACACGTTAGCAAATGGTGCTAGAAAAACTGGATACCTACCTGCAGAGAAATGAAACTGGACCCTATCTCTTACCTTTAACAAAAATCAACTCAAAGTGGGTCAAAGACCTAAGCATAAAACCTCAAACTGTGGAAGCACCGGCGGAGGAGGCAGCAGGTGGAGTGGTGGTTGAGGGCACTGGACTCCCACACCCACTAGGCTCCTCACTTGAACTGCAGTTCGAGTCCTGGACCTGGCGGCTTGCTTTCTCACTTCTTCTCTCTCTCTGTCTCTCTCTGGTCAAATTAAGATAAATAAATAAATAAAGTTAATAAAAATAATACAGTTAACAAAAATAATTATTTAATTAAAAAAAAAAAACTACTGGTGGAAAACAGAGGGGAACTCTTGGAGACATGAGAGTAGGCAAAGACTTCTTAAATAAGACCCAAAGCACAGGGAATAATCCCACGAATAGAGAAGTAAGATCACATCAGATTAAACAACAACTTCTGCACAGCAAAAGAAACAATAGAGAGGCAGTCCTCGGAATGGAAGAATGTGTGTGCAAATTCTCCCTCAGATAAGGGACTAATAACCAAAGTATACAGGGAACCCAAGCCACTAACCGGCAAAAAACTATTCCGTACATTTAAAAGATGGGCAAACAAGCTGAGCAGACAGTTCTCCAAGGAAGGCATACACACAGCCAAAAAATATGAAAAATGCTCAGCATCCCTTCTTAGAAGGGAGATGCAGATCAGAGCCGTAATGAGATACCACCTCGCCCCAGTCCGAATGGCAAGGATGAAAACGATGAAGAGCGATGAGTGCTGATGGCGCTGTGGTTAACAGGCAGCCTGCTACACTGGTGGGAAGGTGACTGGTCTGGCCACTGCGGAGAGCAGCATGGAAGTTCCTCAGAGACCCAGCAGTCCCACTCTGGATGTCTACCCAAAGGTTGCTAAGACTTAGAACCAACCCTCATGTCCACAGACAGATGAATGGATTGGAAAAGTGTGGCAAATACTGAGACCAGCAGTTGGTGTAATCAATGGCTATGTCGCTGGACTCCCATGTGGTCAACCATGGTTCAAGTCCCAGACCTGGTAGCTTAAACTCACGTTGGGCACGTGTGTTTCTCACTTTCTGTCTCTCTGTGTCTCTCTGTCTTTCTGATGAGCACACACGCCCTATAGCAAAAAACAAACAAACAAAAAAACCTCCAAATAAGTGTGGCAAGTATATACTACAGAATTCTACGGAGCCATAGAAAACAATGAGACCCTGGCGTTTACTAGAAAGTAGGTCATGGAAGATGTAACGCTAAGCGAAGCAAGCCGGGCTATGAAAGAGAGACATCGTATTTCCCAACTTACTCTGTACCGAATGTCTGCGCTCGGTGGAGGCTGAAAGACGGGAAGGTGTAAAAGCAGGGAGAGCAACTGTGGGTACCAGACAATGTGGGAGGAGGGTGGGCAGTGGGGCAGGACGGAGGGATGAAGGGAAAGAACAAAACATCGAACAGACACAAAAATGGAAAACTACCTGTTGGTGCTGATGTATATCGTAA